TACTTTGCGTGTAAACAAATTATGTGATAGTGGTTTCCTATTTGTAGTGATGTTTACCCTCTGAAGATGGTCCACAGAGACCGAAACATGTAAGGGTGTTAAGTTTTTATGTAGTAAAAAACTTACAGGTCACATTGGACGGAGTGTTTTATAATTTGATAAGGCAATATGTTTATTACTTGCAGATTTTGTGAATTAGAATTCGTGACGCGTGTATCAAAACTTTGTTATTGAACTGCATGTATCTGCAGACTTTCCATCTTCCACCCTTATAATTTAATAATACAGAACGGAACCAATAGACACTAAATCACCGGATTTTAGTGAAACTTGTTAAATAATTTTTTTCCTTGTCACTACAGCCCCAGTGGACCTAGGCCTACCTCCATGAACTTCTCCGTTCACTTCGGTTTTTCTAGATCTTACACATACAGTAGGACTCCTTGGGCGGGTGATCAGCTCGTCGCAAGGCCTCTACCTGTACACAAACACAGAAAAACGCACACAAACATCCATGCCCTAAGTGGGATTCGAACCCATTATCCCGGTTTCCAAGCGAGCGAAGACAGTACATGCCTTAGACCGCTGGGCTACCGTTACCGGCTGTTAAATAATTAGAGAACACAATTTTCGTTCGTTTCCATGTCCAGTTATTTTCAACGCTGTATTAATTTACGAAGTTTTAAAGCTGCGAATGAGAAAGAGTAAGGTAATTTTGAATGAATGTAGGAGAACCTGGTCCTGATGTTTCTAGTTATAGGTCTACTCTCCGTACGTTTGCCCCTAGGGAACAAGAGAAACCTCAGCTGGCATGCAGCCATTAATCGATTCGAAACTCAGGCCACGGTACAGAAATAAATTTTACTCAAACATTTAAATTGTTTGGTTTGACCTGACAAGCCAAAACCCTGCTCAGTATTCATTGTGATTGAAGCTACGCAGGGTACGACAGGAACGTAACTAGGGAAAATGAGAGAGAATAATTTGATACAGTATAGGATAACGGTGCAATGAAACAAACAGTAAACAGAAAATATTAATACAGGATTCCTATATGTTACAGATTATAGCATTGCACAGAAAACCTTCCCTCATCAGAACGAATGCAAATATAATTTAGAATGGAATTATTTAGAATAAAAAGTAAATATTAGAGGTTTTATTAAAGATAAGACAATTCCGTCCAGTATGACTGGTGATGCTTTTCTTATTTCAATTCTTCATGCCCTTACATGTTTCGGTCCTTAAGGCGCGTTCACATTACTCGTGCTCGTGCTCGCCAGGCTTTTGCTCGTCGGGAGACTCATCTTGCTTTTACTTGTGCTCGTAAATCTTCGTCCACACTACTTCAGTTGCTCGCCAGGCTTCGGCGCGTGAGGATCCGTATATTTACTCGTAGTGTGTATAGGCCGTAGTCGTATTTTAATTTATTGGCCATAGTTTTTAAATTAAAAATTTTAAATTTGCTTGTCTCGTGACTTGTCATATCGTCCACATTACTCGCGAGCATAGCGAGTCACACGAGCACGAGCACGAGCACGAGCACGAGCACAAGTAACGTGGACGCGCCTTTAGAGACCACCATCAGAGGGACATCGATATAATTTGGAAACCACTATTACAATGGGTGTTCTGAATGTTAAAATATATGTACATACAATGTTGACAATACACGTGGATGCAAAAATTCCAAAGTTTTCACAACTACGAGTATTATGATTAACAACATATAAATATAAGCGAAATCACTATATCCTATTATTTGAAATGATCTATTCATGGTGTTCCTTTAATGTGTTAACATTACAGAAGTTCATTCAAATAGGCTATCGTAAGCATGACAGTAAGTAATGTAGTAGGATATGGATGCGCGAGTTGCTTCGTGTTTCAGTGTGTCGTGTCTCTTCTGTGAGTACTGATAACACTGCCAAATAATTGAGTCACTATAAACGTGGTTTGGTAATTGGATTTACTGAAAACTTACAGATCCTAACTACCAGTAACTATGGCGCTATTGCTAAATCACTCACTCAACCGTTCACCACAGCAAATCCTAAGGCTTCTCAGTCTGCTGTGTCTTCACAAGTCGTTGCCTGGCAGACGTTTTCAACGGCGGATGTTCCCCTTACTCTAGGTTCCCGAACTATCCCCGTGCCTCACCTACCAGCTTCTAACAGCAATCGCTCACAATGACTGAACTGCAGCAGTCCTTTAACTACCTGCTCACCAACCAACACGCTTGAACGCACTGTACTCAACTGCACTGCATTCACTAAACTGAACTCGGTCGGTCGAGTAATATGGCCTCCGAGCTGACAACATAGGAAAAACTGACTGCAACAATACTTACATTGCTGCACGCCGGCCGCTGCGTAGCAACGGTTTATATGCCACACTATGTTGATGTATGTATGCGAAATTTAATTAGTCGAGGCAGGATAACCCAAGCGAATATTTTATGGGTGTATGTCGGTAATGGGACACTACTGTAAGTACTTACATGACTACTTGAATTAACATCCTCATGGATAGTACTAAGTATACTTCAGTAAAATCTGTACATATACAATGCTTCCTATTAATTTCAGGCGTACTCAGCAACAAAATAATTCAGTCTTTTGCGGTGTATATGTATGTCTGATAGCATTAGTCGCCTCGATACTAAGAAGTAAAATCAGCATATTAGATATGAATTTAAACTTAGCTGGAAAATTTATCTTCGCTGAAGGCAAAATGGGTTGTAACTTTTTTTAAGTTTTGCAAAAGGGCCGTTAAGTTCTTCAGCAGCATGGTTGACATCATTACTTCCTGAACACTAGTTACTTCATTAATACAAAATGTAGAACTAATTACAGATTTAGTCGTTCTGGACATTCCCTTAATCAGTGAAATAGCAGTGAAGTTGCAGTTTAAATTGGTAAAAATCGTCCTTTATTGCAACATACCTCTAATAAATGTTGATTTGTTTCATTCTGATAAAACAGTTCCGTACGGTGGCGCGCCTCGAACAGCCAGAGGACGATATCAAACAACCTTCTCAAGAAAGACAGGCGGCACAATTTCGACCCCCGTCAAGAAGGGCGATAAGAGAAAGGACACGAACCTATTTGGTTTATAAATTCTAACTAAAATAACAAAAGTTTTAAAAAATTTTAATATAACAAGACAGCTGCTGTACGAGTAATTAAGTAAGACTCCACTTGACTGCACTATGTTTAAGTATAATAAATTTACCAATTTCAATAACCATATTTCTTACAGTATCAGTAGTTTCGTTTAATGTTTTTAGATTTATAACTTAGTAAGTTAAAAGGCTTACTTATATTCATAAAAAAAAACAAATGTAATAAAGTGTCATAATTCTCAAATATATTTGTCACTTTAGAATTGAACAAAAAGTTCTGGAAACAAAATATTTTGAGATAATATACACTAGCGAGCATGCACACATAACCCAGGCTCATGTATACATGTTCTTGCACTGACATAAATCACACACAAACACACAAAAACAATGTTAAAGTTCTTTAGTTCGAGTTAACCATTTTTCAGCTTTAGTATTTAGGTGAACAGATGGTCCATAAGGCAGAGATTTTTCCCTGCCATAATCATTTGAATAAACTGGCCGTACTGCTTTTAATATCACCAATATCGTTAACGATAAGCAACATCTATACTAAATACTGCATATTTAAATAATCACTGACACATAGCACCTCTCCTTGGAACGGTTTCCCGCTTGGAGCCGCGTTAGCCCATAACATTAAATAAAAACGTTTTTTTTTTTCAAAATTCTTACTTTGTAGTAAAATACTGTAACGTGTTTGCAATCCAGAAGAGTCACTTCTATGGAAACGCTAGAATAGACCGTTACAGAGGAGACAACAATTGCTCCATTGTAGTTCTAACAGGAGTCTCCATGGTTATAACAGAGGGTTCGTTGCATAACAGCGACCGAGGTTATATAGCGGGGTTGAATGCATTCGAAGTTAGTCAGTCTCGGAAAAGTCTTCGAGGAAGCCAGCCCTGGATTATCCGCTGCAGAAAGGAGTCTGCTATAAACCGCCAGTGAAGCCAGTCCAGTGTCGGTCGAGTTATTGTAAGCAGTGATTGTAACACTGCAAATGGCCATGATTGTAAAGTGTGTAAGCGAGCGAAAGAAATAAATTCGCTATATCAGAGAACGGCGTGAACTTATTTGTAGCGTGACACACAAAACACGCAACAATACACTTCCAGTCAGGTCTGTGTCTTTAAATTACTTTAGAGTGAACAAGCACATACATGCTATTCAACACAAAAGCTCATCATTGTCATTCCGGTCGTTACATTTTGTTTTTATAAATGGATCCGATCAGGCTTTGGGTTTTTTTTTAAATGACCTAATATTCAATCAATGTTGCACAATCCGTGACTGCCCAGACATTTGTTTTCTTGTATGTAAATGCGTCATTTCTCACAAATAAATAGGCAAACATTCAGAATTACTGGGTTTTTGTTCTTTGTCCATCATCCGGTATTCTAGATATTAGAAAACACAACGTTTAGGAAACTGGATCTGTTTCCGCCCTCAGGTGAGAGGGGAGAAGACACCTACTGTGTTGGGTCCCTTAGAAAGAGCTAGTCCCCATCACTGGACAATTCCTGTCAGATTCACTAGAACTATTTATTCACTTGAGATCAGGCTAATTCGGCGGGAGATAACAACAAAATATGCAATAAAAATTGTGATAAAGCACGCATGCGTGGAGCTAAGATAGAAAAGGACCCAACAGAGTAAATGTCTTTCCCTCTCATCACATGAGGACGGAAACAAATCCAGTTTCCAAAAATCCAGTATTATACACCATCGTCAGAATCCTTCAGGATCTACTTAAACAGATAGTGCTCACGTTTTAGGTTGACTTTACAAATAAGGCGATGTCTTTTGACAGGCTAACAAATTTCCAGCCTTTCGGTATTTTTGTTTTCAAAATTAATTTAGGCAGTGTTAATTACGAATCGAAGCTCGAAATATTAATAAAGTAAATATTTCTTGAAATGCCCAGAATTGACCACTATTTGAGTGTGCGAGCTTTGAACTGTGTGTATCTTTCAGTTGACGCAGAAACAGGAATCCTGCATGTTCCTCTTGACCCAGTCAGAATAGCGTGATACACGCGTGTAAACTCCGGGATAACCTGGACGTCCGCAACCGACGCCCCACGATACTATGCCTGGAACAAACAACGAAACTTTAAACAAAAAGAGCCGAGGGTATTTAAGCTTTGTGATATGTCCATGGAAGTGGAAAACTCGGTCAGTGAATTTGCTGAGTATGTTTTGGTAGGCCGGGATCGCAGAGTTAAAATGGCTTACCCGCTCTCTTTTTTTCCGGAAGGGGGGGGGGCAAGACGTTCGGAGCGCCGGAGCTCTAAATATTTGTAACATCACATAGTGTCGCTTTGCACGCCTTCATGGTGTTATTCCTAGGCGTAGAAGCAAATTGACCTTACCTGTGCTCTGATATCTTAAGAAAACACCTATTGGAAGGAATTTGATATTAATTCTTCTTCTTCTGTACAATTGAAGAAGTAAAAGTTGTCCCTGTGCTTAACTACTTGAACACGTATGGGGCAGTGGATGTATAGATCCACGTTTTCTTAACCTCGACTTTAGATGGAGGTGAGTGGTTAGCTTCACGCCCCGGCCCCTTCACCTTCGAGGAAAGGGCCCCCAGTAATCATAGGATAGCAGGCAGGATGAACCCTAGAAGAGGTATTTTAAAGTTGTTAAATTAAAATTACGAAGTTAGCTTTAAGAAAGTGTTTTTCATGTCTCCGTAGTTTTGGAGTGCTTATCAAGTCTTATATTCTAAGGAAGCACTATACAGCAAGAGGGCGTCAGGCAGTGACTTTGAAGAGCACTTTCTGCTGGACTATTTTTCAGTGTATGAGTATTTTGTTGGAAGTTTTGTGCTATTTTAGTGGAATTTGGTCTTGCTTTCACGGCTTAGTCTGCGAAAGTGCAGACAGATACAGCACATTCTTAGGGAATGATTTTAAGCTTTTTCCAAACTANACGTTCCTCCGAAACGTCGGCCAAAACGAAGAATACACGGTGCCTAAACCCAGAAGACGACTTTCTTTATAATTCTTGATATTCCAAAACGTGGTACTTTAAAAAATATAGCTTAGTTTAAGAGGATGTATGGAACAGAGGATATAAACTTATATTTTGATACTGATCATTCATATGAGAAAACACACAAATATTATGTGTAAGTTTTAATTAATTTTAGGGTACGAAGGGAATTCTCATGTACCAGAAAGAAAGTCACACAATAGATTTTTGCGAAGAAAGTTTAAACAATTTCGTCTTTACCACCTGTGCTGTCTGCAATCTCAGTCATATTTCTGTCTCATTTTTTAACTTACTTAAATGCATTGAAACTTATTTTTAGTATCATGAAAAGTCCTTTCCGTCCAGTGTGACTGGTGAAGAATGAAACAAATTATATTTTTAGTATGTTTCAACATTGTTTTTTACTTACTTTTCTTTTCAACATGATTACATATCCTTTTTACGAATTCAAAACCAAACGTGTTTAATCGTATATTCTCTCTGAGAGCAGCTTCCTTAACATTGTCCTCAGAACGCATCACAGTATGTCACTCTTTGCTTCAAGTAAATAAAATAAGATACTCTTTGAAGCCATCAGATCGCTCATTTGTGTGAACCAGTGGATCAGTAATAGAATCTTAAGTGGAATTTTGTTACTAATGGTTCTGCACTTCTTGCTTGCTTGTACTAAAGGAACAGTAATATTTTCATTTAATAATATCTCCATATTTGACTTACCAACAATTTCAAGTTTATCATCCACTGCTTGTACTACGAGAGGACCTCCGCTATCTCCCTGCAACAAACCACACGCGGTGATACGATAACTTATAACTATTATGTGCATATTTGTAGTCTATACTGAGAACTTGTCACATGGACTAAAATTATAACTGGATTCTAAAGGGTTCTGACGATGGTGGATGACACACAGAATTACTGGGTTTTGGAATTTTCCCATCATCCTGAATTTTAAGTACTAGAGGACACGACGTTTCGGAAACTGGATCTGTTTCCGTCTTCAGGTGAGAAAGGAAGACACCTACTCAGTTGGGCCCCTTAGAAAGAGCTAATCTTAAAACACCATGTCCTGTATCACCTAAAATTCCAGACGATGGAAAAATTCCAAAAACCCCAGTAATTAAGTGTAAAATTACAACGTTATAATGAATATTAACTAAGTTCTGTAGTAACTATTTCTGGCCCTGCAAACACCAGAAAATATTAAATGTATGAGACCATGCTTTGGTACAATCATGAAACAGTGTAACAGGGTTACATAGTAGCAACGTATTTCATGTTAGGAATATATTCAATTATTTCTTCTTTCTCAGTTTACGAGTTTCAGTTTCATTTCATTTTATTTGGCGTAGCGTAGACCAGCCTTCAGGGCTTGTGCGTCTGCCCACACAAGTCTGCATATACCTCATTTAATCCGTTAATGGAAACATTGGCCAGACGTGCCATATTCCTGAGAATACGACTAAGGGCCATATTGTATACAGTAGTGCTGGAAGATATCCTGAGGTGTGTGCTCTTAAAATGATCACATGGTGAAATTATTACGTATTCTCCACGTACCCACAACTGCTCGATGAAAATTCAGGGAGAATTTCCCTTCCAGTTATGGAATAACACAAGTTAACACGTTCAAACATTTCACACAGTGGTTGTATTAACTTATGATTATTTTTTAATTAATAATGAGCTGTAAATTTCGGCACTGAACGAACAGAAATCCAATATTGTTTTTCAGTCTGAGAAACATAAATCTGATAATTGTATTATTGAAATACTTACTTTGCTGTCACATTAAATCAGTTTGTAATTACTTATCTGATTTTTCATTAACAGAATCTGAGATATCAAGACCACTGCAAAAAGTCCACCGTTTATTTTTATTCAGAGTCAATACAACACAGCAACAGACTTTTCTCTTAATAATTTTCTCAGCATTATTCTCATATCTGTATCTCATTTCTCAAAGTAACCTTTCCTCACGAGAATTGACCATAAAAATTATATCGCTTTCCTTACTTCCGCAGTTCAATTACAAAAATTCATTTTACTGCACAACAATGATAACAGGCAAGAAGTTCTGATCCTGGAATTACATGAATTTCTCATTCTGCTATTAATTACAATATTTTCATTTCTGGCTTACTCTTCAAAGTATTTTTTTCATCATGTCTCCAGAGCTAAACTAATTAACTCCATGAAGCGAAGCTAATTTCGGGAAGCTAATTGTTGCTCAGTTAGTCAAGAAATCCTCTGCCCGAAGGTTTGCAACAATCAGCCACAAGTTTCAATCCTGAGTTTTATGAATCTATCCTACCTTTTTAATATTAATATTAGTAGTATCCTCCCGTCTGATCCTACGTTTTGCTAGCGATCTCTTTCCTTCAGGTTTTCCCACCAAAAACTTTTACTCATTTCTCTTCTTTCCAATTCATGCTGCATGTCGCTTCACTCTCATGCTTTTTGCAGTTTTCCTTTGTTTAGATAGTGCAAAAGAAGCCGTCTAGAGCCTAGGGTATTTGTAACATTTCGTATCATGTTGAATATTGACCCCTTGAGCTGGAGCAACGTCACTTCTCCGCTACTCGCTCTTCTACACATTCGCAGCTAGAATCTGTGCTCATGTTTTCACCTATTTTGCTTAATTCGTTTTTCTCCAGTTTTTATGCAAATAAGGGAAATAGATTTGTCATTAAACATTTGTATAATTTAATACAAATATAGCGAAAGTTTGGAAGCCCTTAACTGCATTTCATTCTGTGAATTAGAGATAATCATTTTGCAACTTCTTGGTATTTTAATATCAATATAAAATTCATGAACCCTGTACGCTGTGTTGAACATTGATGCATCAACCTCGCACACTTCTGAGATCAGATCGAAATAATTCTTCTGTCTGAATTCGTCCCTGGTTTGCCACTGACCTGGCATGAATCTTGCGTTCCTTTTCCTGCGCAGAGCATGTTGGCTGTGATGCGTGAAGGACGATACTTGGTCTGGCGACATTGCTGCAGGCTCAGAATTGGCACCTGCACCTCGTGAGCCAGTGCTGGTAGCATGCCCCCTTCCGAAGTGCGGCCCCATCCGACGACAGTGCCTTCGCGGCCTGCAGGATCCACCCCTGAACAGTAAGACTTGCAATTCAGTGCAATAGCTTAGCTTGCTGAGATTTGATTTTCTTTGGAAAATTTCAGTATGAAGTTTCAAACGTTGTCGATTAAGTTGTTACGGAAGAACGCCCACACCATTCAAAAACAGTCTTAAAGGATTTATGCATAATTGTAAGTACTTTATCTGGCTGTGCCCTCTCATAACTCGCTTGGACTCTTCTGGAAATGTGCTCTAGAACAATATTCAGGAATACCGTTAGGGGTGAGGCATCCCCTTTTTATAGTCAAGTGTGCCGCTATCCTATGAATGTTGCCATGAACCTACATGACCTCGTGCTCACAACCCTGCATTAAGTGTCACTTTGCACTGATCAACAACTTTAACGTATTGACCTCATGTACGCTGTAGTTACATTCTTCAGCCGCCTGTGCTATGCATAAATAAATTGGAGGTTTGAACATTACGCCGTTTGGCCGTATAACAGTCGACTAATTTTTAAGTCTGGTATTAACAGGGTCGAGGAATTACTTGTTGGCGCATTTGTAATAAGGACAAATAACCGCACTTCATTTCAGTCTGCCCACAGACACATGGAGACACACATGCTACTGGGAGGAAGACATTTGTCTCACTCGTCCTCTCGAGGACAGTTCAGTCTCCCTCTCATTGGTGGCCCGTACTCCGTTAGGACAGAAATTTTGGCTTCATGGAGCTGGGATAACTTACTTGATATAAAACCTGGGATACGGGCTGGATGATCGTGATTCTTTTCCCGAAAGGGTCAAGGGATTATTCTCTTCTGTATAGAGTCAAGACTGGATCTTGGGCACACTCTGGCTCCTGTCCAATGGACACCGGGTGCTTTTGCTTGAGATTAAAAGGGTCGGGTCGTGAAAATGACCACTCACCTCAAACTTCTACCGAAATTAAGAATGGCAGGGAATGCCTCCATTTCCGTCAAATTTTCATGACGTTGTGCTTAATTATGTCTATAATTAAGTACAGGGATAAATTTACCTTTTCTACGTGTGGCCCGAAAATCGTACCGGCTCGTCTCACGTGATTATACAGGCAATCGCCTTGTCGAGGAACAGCCAGTGTCACATAAACGCGTGGTCTCTACTCAAGAGAGAAATTTGGCCTCATGACCAAACCCTACACTCACCCGAATGGGGGAGACACACCGGTCTCACACGTTTCGTGAAAGTGACTGGCTTCCTCAGCTTCAGCAGCGCGATGTCATGATTGTACGTGTTGACGTCGAAGTTCCGATGTCTGATGATGGCAGAGACGGCTCGCATAACGGCCGGCGTTTCTGACGTCTGGTACTGATCGTGATCGCCGAGGAAGACTCGAATCTTAGAGCGTTTTAACCTGCCGATTAACACATCACAGTTTCTCCAGATAAACAGAGAGAAGATGCTAAGATACTAAGTAAGAAACCAGCCTGAATTCATTGCAATTTCTCAGTTACTCAGGTTATATGGTATCAAGAGGGATGAAGAACGTGATTGGTGAATAAATAATCTTGTGAAAAATAAAGGTTGTGGCCTGTTTTAACGCAATATCCTAGTGTTTACAAGGAGAGACTGAGAGGGACAATAAGAAACTCGTAAGGATGCCTGGATTTCATTTGATATTCGAAACTCTCTCTCACCTCTTGCTCCAAATTTGGAGCAGAGGGCTGATTTCTCAGTTCCATGATCATTTTACAGACGGTAGTACTTTTTGGACGGGTTATCAGCTCGTCGCAAGGTATCTACCTAAACACAGGACAACACAAACACAGAATAAACGCATACACAAGCCAAATATTTATGCCTTGTGTGGGATTCGAACTCATGATCCTGGAATCCGAGCGAACGAAGCCAGTATATGCCTCAGACCGGTCAGATGCCGTGACCGGCATTTGAACCTGGAACCTCCCAAATAAAAGCAGGAATAATTAAACGCTTTATTCGGTGCAGAATCTTCCATAAATATTCGATGACCATTCTACCATTCAGTGAACTTTGTGTTACAATATCCGTTACCACGACCCCTCTCCGTTTAATGCTTTGCCGATTTATTCACGTACAAACTTCCACGTAGAGATTCAACTGTATTTTAGCATGACACAGGCTCAGCCTTGATTTCTCCATGCCTCATCCCAGACAAATCTCTTCCTGTTATTTGAAACGTTAGTGATGTTAGTACATGTGTTTCCTCACCTCCTTACGCAATGAGCCGCTGTAAGCACGTAGTCACCATTGAGGAGGGATCCTCCACAGTGGAATTTACCGTCGTACACAAGACGCGCGACCCAGGGGTATCGGTTCACCCCTGTCGGCCGTCCGCCGACAATTCTGATCTCCTGGTTTGCCACTCCGCACTCTGTTAACAAGAACGTACGGTGAAGTAGCCACATAGTGATTCATAAATTGATAAACAGCGATACTGGCTTAAATATGTTGGATTTAAGGCTGTCCTAGAACTGGGATAGCTCAGTCGAAGTAGCAGTGGGCTACTTGCTGAATAGCCTGGGTTGGATTCCCCGCAAGGGAGCAGGTATCGTTTAGAACATAGATATTTAACGATGACTCCACTTGAAAACCTGCAGGTTGTCCTCCGCTCATCTCCCTCAATATTTATCTATGCGAAAGGTGTTTCGAACAAAGCTTGTGACAAGGAATGAAACAAATATTTTATGTCCAATATGTTTTTTCCATTCGTTGCACGCTTTTTCGAAGCAATTAAGAAAGTGATGTTATGCTACAAGTCGGAAGGTCGCGGGTTCGAGTCCCGATGAAGTGTTTTTTTTCCCAATTTACCTAAACCTTACATCTGTACTATGGCCCTGAGGTCGACTCAGCCTCTAACAGAAATGAGTACCAGGAATATTCTTGGAGAGTAAAGGGTAGCCAGCGCGTAAGGCTGACAACTTTACCGCCATCTGTGAGCCGATTGTCTAAAGAAAATTTGGGAGCCTCGACATCTCACAAACTACGGGCCTATAAGGCCTGTTACAAGGATAACTTAACTTTTACCTTTTATTGATATTATGAGTATATTTTGAAGTTTCATATTCGACGCCGAAGCATGGTCTCTGGAACACAATTGTAATGAATAAAGATGAAGGAATAAAAATTTGTTTCATACTTTTAATGTTGAGCTCAATTTCCTTATGATAAATATGTTAGTTGCGGCCTAAGGTTGTCACGAGTTTAGTAAAAAGCAAATGCCAGTGTGAGGTTATGTTGAGGTCACTCACTAGTGCTATGTCCAAAAGTATTTTCATTTCTTTATTTTCGGAAATAAATTCTCCAGTTTCTCTTTTGGGGCGCCTTTATTACGCCCCTATACTTACGACAGGAACAGTTCTGAGGCACCTCGTCGTCTGTATCTGAAGTGTCGCTGGACCCTAACCCGAACAGCTCGTCAAACAGCAACCGATTGCTACCGTTTGTGTTATTCTCAGCCTGAAACATCAGTTTCAAAAATAATTTAATGATTAATTTTAAAAATAAAATGAGCAAGGCGACCTGGACAGAGCACGCAGCAAATACAGAAAAGATGAGAAATCCCAGTGAAATATTAGCTGACGAACGTAAAAGGAAGAAACGAATTGGAAGATCTGGGTGCAGATTGGAGGATAATATTAAAACGGATCACTGGAAAATAGAATTTGAAGTTATGGACTGAATTGAACTGCTCCGGGATGGGGTCCAATGGTAGCTTTCTGAGAACACGGCTATGGAATTTTGGATTAAGTAATGGCAGGATATATTTTTGTCAGCTGAATAACTATACATTTCTCAAGAAAGGTCTTGACCCTCAGGAGCTAGAAAGTTAACAGTGATTCCTTGAATGCTTACAATTTTTCAGTTCAATAATTGTTAATCATTTCATATTATTTTCTGTTACACTGAAGATTAAGTTACAGAAGAAAATCAGGTTTATCAAATATATTTGCCATTAGAATAATGTATTTTTTAAATTTCTAGTAACTTGATAGATGCGGTTCCAAATCATTCATACTAGAAGTACTCGTAAATAGGCTATCTTTGTTACCCTGAAGGTTTCAGAGTCTAAGATGCAATGATGCTTCGTTGCTATTGTCCATTTTCTTAAAACTAACGTGCATATAAACATACATGTTTGAAAGATTTTTCGCCAAAAACCTAAAAACTTAATTCCGTGGCTTTAGTATCTTTCCCAACACAGAAGTTCGCACAACGCAGTTTCTACCGCTGATCACAGAACATCATAAAGACGACATATTGACTGAACGCCTGTTTCTACGAAATGTTGAAATAAAAATATATCAAATCCGGTTTAAAGATGCAAGTCTCCATCTCCCTCATGAAACTTGCTTTAATATAGCTCATCAATCTAACTTCATGTATTGTAACAGCACTCACCTAATCCTTATCGCAGCTAGGCCAGTCCAGTATGAAGAAATCCAGTTTTTATTCAAGTAAAGCAAGTGTCACGTAACTTCGAACAAGGCCAAGAGTAACCTTGAATGCGCAGAAGAAAAAATTCAGACAAGGGGGTGGGTTCGAGGGTGTGAGAAGTGACAGGCGGCCAGTTGTTGGCACTACAGCCCCAGTGGGCCTAGGCCTACCTCCATGAACTTCTCCGTTCACTTCGGTTTTTCTAGATCTTACACAGACGGTAGGACTCCTTGGGCGGGTGGTCAGCTCGTCCCAAGGCCTCTACCTGTACACAAACACAGAAAAAAGCACACACACAAACTAAACATCCATGCCCTGAGTGGGATTTGAACCCACGATCCCGGTTTCCAAGCGAGCGGAGACAGTACATGCCTTAGACCGCTCGGCTACCGTGACCGGCTGCGAAACGTGGTTATGTTGACAAAAGTGAGGGAATCAGGACTATATACAGTCAGATATTAAAGAAATTCTTCTGCCGGTAAAATTGACCCTCTACTTAATAAATTAAGAACCTCTCCATGAAGACATGTGAGGGAGTAAAAGTATGACTTCACCATTCGTATTGTTACGTGTATGTGTGACCATAGACGGGTTTTGGATTGTATGATTAGATTTGTTGCACCTTATACACTCACACCTCGAGACTACAAACAATTACAACACTATCTCTGATCTGCGAACTTTACAATCCAACGTTGCGCACGCACTAGGGTTCTCAGTCTTCACTAGTCTTATCCAGGCAACGGATTTATAACAATCTCACTGTCAATTCATATCACACATGGAGTCTTCTTGTCACAGTCTAGTTCCATTCTTGTCATTTTTCTGCAGCTGCCAAGTCTGGAGACTCGACTCAATTCAATTTCAAGCTCATATCCTGGGAGGCTGGCGTTCCGAATCTCGACTCTTCACTCCCGACTACACTCCTACTCTAATGCCGAACACTTCTTTATAACCAATTTGTACTGATCCCACAGAAAACACGGCCTCTGTTGTTAAGGAGGCGTGTTTACTGATTCATTGTCTAACAATGGATGTCCTATTCTTGCCCGGGAATGTGTTTACCGAGTCGTTACCTAAAATGGCTATGCACATCACACTATCATCGGTCCGAGATGGAGGTAAGTGGTCAGCTTCCCACTCTGTCGCTTGGGGAAACATCCCTCAGTATCCTTTCGATAGAAGGTTGGGGGGGCCCGAGGGGCGATGTAGGCTACATGAGCTCTTGCTTATGCTGATGATCGAACCTCCATTTCTTAGTCGTTCAGTCTAATCAGCCTATTCGCTGTACCGACTTAGCTCTCCTGGTTCCTCTTCTGCAGGTAGGTAAAACATTACTATTGCGACTACTGATCTCTCATATAGAGGTATGACTGTTCTCATACAGGTATCTAAGCCAAAAGAAGTATCTAATTTCTTGATTAACAAGGCTACTAGTAAGGGTGATTCAACGTATTATTTTCGTACAACCTGAGATAACGTATCCCGCCGCTGGATTATGATCTTAATTCATTTCAGAGATTAATGTGTGAAACTCCACCCATTTCATAAAGCACTGTTCGCACTAGCTACTTTTTTAAACTGTATTCTGCTTTTCGCTTTTCATCTCTGCCTTTTATGAACTCGACAATAAATTATATATTGTCACGTGTATGAGTCATTATAGACAGGTTTCGGATTAGTAATTGGATTTATTGAACACATACGAACAACACACAATTACAAGTAACTGTACGGCTATCGCTAATTCACACCTTCAGCAGTTCACTACGCACGCACTAAGTCTTCTCAGTCTGATGTTTCTTCACCAGTCGTTGCCTTGTAACGGCTTTCAACGGCGGACGTTCCCCTTTCTCTGGTTTCTCGAACTATCTCCGTGCCTCATATCTACTTCTGAGATTAACAGCTCACAAATACTGAACCGCAATAGTCTTCTCACTCACTCACTCGCCAACTCAATTTTCTCTACTCCACTGCACTGCACTGAACTGCTCGAAATGAACTGAACTGAACTCGGCCGGTCGAGTGATACAGCCTCTTAGCGGACCACATAGAGAACACCACTTCAAACATTACTTCCATTGTTGCGCGCTGGCCGCTGCCTAGTAACGACTCCACCAGTGTTGCTTATTTACGAAGCTTTTGCATAGCAATGGCCGTTGTCTCGTTTATTTCGCAGTCGTCTAGAAACGGGTCAAAATGCCACATTACTCGTATGTGCTGAATTATTCGTCACTCAGGAGAGATATCTTACCAACGAATATTTTACTGAAACTGTACGGAGATGATATGCCTCTACACCCTTCGTATTAATTTCATAGTGAAGTTTGTACATTTTTTTTTCCTTGGCACTACAGCCGCAGTGGGCCTAGGCCTACCTCCATGAACTCCGTTCACTTCCGTTTTTCTCGATCTTACACATACGGTAGGACTCCTTGGGCGAGTGATCAGCTCGTCGCAACGCCCCTACCCGTAGACAAACACAGAAAAACGCACATAAACATCCATGCCCTGAGTGGGATTCGAACCCACGATCCCGGCTTCCGAGCGAGAGAAGGCAGTACATGCCTTAGACCGCTCGGCTACCGTGACCGGCGTTTGTACATTTAATTTTTTTTTTTTTTTGTAATTCTGACAAAAGCACGAACACCTTGGACTGAACAAACTGTAGTTTAAGAAAATTATAGCCCCCGCATTTTCGGTCCATAACCTGCAAAGAAATATGTACAGTTATTCTGTATGGATTAATCGAGCCTTTAGGGGACCTTCTGCACCTTTCTCATGTCCCGCATTTGTGCTTGATGTCGGCTATGTAGACACAGGTACAAAAACGGTTTGTTGGAAATGTTAACAGGGGCAGCTCATGCAAGACTTGTGACCCCAAGTTGGCAGTGAAAGTAGAGTTGCCATGGCAATGACTTTGCTGATGGCAAGGTCTATCTCCTTCTCTTCTCCTGCTTACTTCACTGCTCAAGCTGACAAACCGGGAACCAGTTTTCGCGGTATTATTTACAGTTTAGCACTCCTTCTTCGGTTACAAGCCTTTCCGTTAATCAATATTGTGTTTCTTTTCTAGCGTAGCTATGTAAACATTTCCTGACGCAAGAACCGTTAAAATAGCAGTTAATTTTCCTAGGACCGCTATTCTGTGCCACATTGTACAGTACTAATAGCAGTTTATGTATCTAATTATGACTAGCAGGTTTAAATACGTTTATTTGCGAGGAACTTACAAATGTGATGGTCATAAATGGTATTTATGTGATATAATGTAGCTAGTTTTCGGCATGTGCAACAGTCAATGGAAAGGTGATTGAGGAACACAAGTGAACATGTTTCTTTTGAAGTAAATTTATCTCAAAGTTGCACTAAATAATATGCAAGAAATTATTATGCTCTCATATGTGCTTAACACGTACGTTATTTCCCCTTAAAATTTAATAGTGCTGTGTTTGTTTTAATGTGGATTATTGGATCCATTCTTGGATTATATAATTACACTATTTCAACTGCAAAATTTATATATAATATCATAAAATATAATAGAAATTGTCAAGAGTGGAATTGGCCAAAGATTTTGAAGAATGGTGTGTAGAACTCTTTCATGGTAAGCAATGTGTACATTCACATGGAGGACTGAGGAAAACCGCAAAAAATCTTTGTCCGGTTCTTGATTTAGATGGCCGATATACCGAATTGGATGATACAGTGCAAGAGATTTAGAACCCTATTTAATTGATTCATTTAAATTTTTGTTATGTTTAAGACGACGAGGTTACCACGATTCAATAGAATATTATGTTTTTTTGAATCGTCAAATGTGTAAGAACTTAAATATTTCATTGCGATGAAAATTCTTGTTGTGGTTTTCTTAGCTGAGTTAACATGGTGAAGTCTCGTAGGTGGATACTAAAGTACAACAAGATGTTAATAACCTGCAAGATCCAAGACAAAGGAATATCTGTTATTCCAGAAGATAATACTATTTTAAGTTTGGGTTGTATGTTAAGTAGAGGATTTCTCATTAGCATCATTTTGTTGACATGCGCACTGCTATTTTAGACGTTCAAGTATTTTGAAAACTTGTCCATGATATGTATGTACTGACCGTCTTGTAGTGCACACAATCTGACATGTCACTTCACTACATGTTTCGGCATCACTGTGCCATCCTCAGGTGCGTTGTTTACGCTAAGCTATTGCATTGCTTGCCATCATGTGTTCTTCATAAAATGATAAGCCTGAAGAAAAAGCACACATGCGAAAACTAAAATAGAAGTTGCTTAGAAAAGTATATATGTAAATTACAAGAGAAAACATTAGTGGAAGCAACTTGTCTTTCTTCAGTGTAACGATGGCAGAATGTAGAGCAGAGGCTTCTAAATGCTGCAGAACGAGTCTAAATATGGTCGCTGGATGCAAACGAGACGTGCAAGTGAAAGGTTTATTGAGAGAAGACAGCAATATATGTACCTATATCGAGATACTGACCTATCTTGATACAGTTCACTTCACACCACTTTCCTGAGCTAAACTGAGTACTCCATGTCTTCTTCTGAGGCTGTATTAATCTCAGAACCTTACTTCAACATGTAGCTTATTCTCCTGTATTTTATGCAGTTGGAATTCGGTTGCTGTGAGTTACAAGGAGATAGAGAAACGATGCAATATTGCATGTCCCGTCCTAGAGGAGAAAAATGAAGGCATAAACTTTAAAAATTCTACTCGTAGTTTTGCAATTTTCGATAGTTAATAAATTTCCTCCTTTTCTCTGCCACATATTTTCTATATGTACTTCATTTTTACGTATACCAGAAGACACATATGAGAGAGTATATATAGAGACCCCCACATGTGTGAGTGTGTGTGAGACAAGAAGGTCATGTGTGAAGAATATATGGATGCAATATTTTCCCTGAAGATAATACGCGCAATGATTTTGATAATTTAACTGACTCGACTATTTTCTTTTTGTTGCTACAAGTACGCCTAATGGTTTAAAAAAGAATTCCATTCGTAAGTCCTGTTATATAAGGAAATGTCATAACTGACCCTCTTAAAGCGCGCAATGCCCCTTATCGTATGTATAATGTTTCTAACACTGAGGCAAAGATACCTGACGCAGCAATGATATGAAGATTCCTTTTCGTATTTTATACTCTCTGAATGTTAAAGATGTTCCTGTGCTTAATTAATTAAGAACATCACCATGAAACTTACGGTAGAGTAGATATGTATTCTTGACCTCGGCACTTCCTACATATATACGAGTATATATATGTAGGAAGGATGACGTAAAATGGACCAAAATAAAGGACAAAGCCTGTTAATGAGTAGTGATGGCAAATAGTAATGGCAAACTATAATATACAGCAAAAGAGAAATCTTGGAAGACGCCCAAGGTGTACAAGAAACAGGTTGGGTTGAAAAGAGTAATTACACTGCTGCACCTGATGACTCCGCATATTAATGATCGAATTTAACTGTGGCTTAGCACTTTCTGCTCCCGTCGACGTGTCTGAAGTTTGCTTTTGTGTGTGGGTGATTTTACCACGCAGTCAGTACCTGTACACTATACGTCAGAAAGTAGGATGATAGATGAATGACGACTTAGAAAGGACTTTGAAGGAAGTCCTTGTGGCCTAAGTAGAAACACTATCATGGCAATCGTCCTAAGAGACTGAGAGAACACAAGGAAAACCGCAGTCAGAATAGGCAGTGTCCCAGCCGAGATTCGAATTTGGTATCTCCCGAATACGAGTCCAAATATTTCCCCTTTTTGCCCTCCCATTCAGCACTTACCTTCCTGACTGACAGTTCTGTTGATATCGGTGCATCCGTACAAAATGTGGCAGTTGACAGCAGTAGCATGACACACAATGCAGGCAGACATTGTAGCGTCCGCACTGGCATGTTCTTCGTTACGACGCCGTCCTCTTCACCAGTTAGTTTCGATGACGTAACAGCGTCTGATGCACATTGATTTACACATGCATTCCGCTTTCTCAGTTTTTGGCCTCATGGAACTTCTGCAGTGTTACTTCCATTCGGCAACACCATAACTTCTATTTATGTCAACACCAAAATAAGATATGTCACTAATAGACGTCTTAAATTGCTGTAGACTCCCTATCACATATCCAGGACACTAAAATACTAAATCACATTTCTAATATGTCACAGGCATTACATACACATAGAAGGTGTTTATAAGTAATTTCTAGAGGCTTCATAGAAAAAATAGAGTAAATATTTAATAAAGTTATATCAACCGAAATATTCCAGGAGTTTCACTTTCTTTTAGAACAATATTTTTCTTGTATTCCCAAAACTTAACCAAAATGTCCGTGATTGTGAAGTCACGCCATCACTTTACGTATCCATCAGTATAGTGAGGTAGCCACGTGCTATGTTGATTCGCTCTGCATTGCCGTTCAAGTTGTCACAAACACGCAGCTCTACACGCCCGTCGAACTCACAATGGCTTTCACCGTCATCTGAAACAACATCTCTAGAGTTACCACTCGCACTGATGAGAGCTGCAGTAAGGGGGGGAGGAGGAAGAGAGGAAGAATTTCTTCTTGAAAAAGATTCCTTGATTTTGGGAGTGAAACATTTGTGTAGCTCTCACTTTAAGAGAAGAGAAGGCAAGCGCCACTTAACCATGTCAACTGCTGGTTCATCATTTGCTACGTGTTCTCGTCCAGAGTTTCACTTCTGCTACAGAAAGTGGCAGGAAGTAAACCTTGACGAAGCATTATGTGCAAATTGTCATTATCATAAAACTTGCGAGCGACATGTCCTAATTTCGAAGTTTACGACGTTAAAACATGTGCAATTCTCGTTACTAACTTTCACCCTCGAAAATGTAGTAAGTATTCTGATTGTCAAGAAATTTCCAGCTTTCATGGAAACCCACGGCTAAATAATGTCACAGCAGCTAAATAAATTGTTCACCTTGAAGGCATATTCTTTCTTCTTCGTCTGTCGTGAATTAGAAATTTCGACCTGTTGCAATTTAGGGTGAGTTCGGAAATATTAATCGTTAGATATTTCATAAAACTTCTCGGACGGCTAGCTGTTCCATTACAAGGCCTCTATGTTCACAGAAAAAGCGGATAGACTTCGAGATGTAGTTACAGGGGTCAGAGAACATAAGCTTCTTAGATCGCACATCCATGATGATCTGTATATAGTTTTCTCCAAAATTCATTCTAACATTTTCCTCCCATCTGTGTCTGTCTCTCTCATCTTACATTCATCGAACTATGTTCGGTGTGAAAGCATTTTCATTGTACATTTATACGGTTCTTACCACAAGAAAAAAGAGCTTCAGGGAAACCAAACTCTCTCTCTTTTTGGTAATACCTCTTGCGTCTGTGCATACTTAAACTTAACTTTGTTTTAAAGAAATTCAAGACATTTGCCTATCGGATTATTTTCGGCTTACTGTGTAGATCTAAGGATATTTTGATTGTTCGGAGTCTTTTCGTTTTTGTGTATGCAGTGAATCCGCTCTTGATTAGATCTCATATTGCACAACCTTCATTCACTGCATCTGTGCACTTATTTTGGCATACATTAGACAAAGAGGTCTCGAACCTTAAATGAATGAGTTTTTGTGTTTTGAACATATTTTAATAAACAATGATTAGATCGATTAGTATTTTAGGTGAAACTTGTTGTGTTTAAACCGCATAATGAGGAGCTTCATAACTTGTACTCTTCTCCAAGTATAATTAAAATGATCACGTCAAGGAGGATGAGATAGGCAGGACATGTAGCACAAATGGGGGAGAAGAGGAATGCATATAGAATACTGATGGGAAAGCCAGAAGGAAAGGAGACGACTGTGGAGACCAAGAAGTAGGTGGGTGGACAATATTAAAATTGATTTTAGAGTGATAGGATGGGATGATATGGATTGGATTGATCTGGATCAGATGGGGACCAGTGGAGGGCTCTTATGAACACGGTAATGAACCTTCGACTTCCATAAAATGCTGGAAAGTTCTTGAGTAGCGGCACAATTGGTAGCTTTTCAAGAGTGGCTCAGCTCCAGGAGTGAGCGAGTGTTTAATATGCTAAAATATCTATTTACTCAGGCTCACTCCCTATTTTGTTTAGCCCACAAAGGAGAGCACAAATATCACATGGTAAATACTGCAGAATGTTAGTGTGTAGGTACTTCGTATGATCGCCAATTTAACAGAATGGAATATTGTGTCCTCTGTTTAACAGTCATGATCCCTTTGATTATACTTGAATTCTAATCTAAGCTTGTTAACAATAAGCTAAGTAATTATAATACCGTTAGAATTTCAAATATCAACTTAAGATCTGCTATTCTGAGTGGAATGTTATTTACTTTTCTGATTCCCACCAGGCAAATACTGGGTTCGTATCTTAAAACGGGTCACGATCAAATTTTTTCCTTCCTCTCTCCAGTTCTGTTTTCATAGCAAACGTAACATTTTAATTTACATAACTTACATTGTTGATAAGCGTCGTTACATAACCAAAATTTGACTAGTAACGAAGTCGGATCAGAAGCTATAGTGATCGTGTTCATTCTAGATCAATGTTATTTTATCTCCTTTGTATTTCACTAGAATTAGATGAATTACTTAAGATATTACTGTTAAATCCTTTTTCTGTAAATTATGTACAAAGATAATGGAAATATTTTTATCTTTACAGATCTAATTCAATTATTATTTGAACTGGTTTATAATTATGACAAAAAAATTAATTATGTATCATACAAAGAAAGGAACGATCAAAGTGAGAAGATTATTGAAGCTCTATCTGACAAATTCGACAAGTGTATATAGTAACCTACCTGAGTTCAAACAACTTAAATCGAGATGAGCTAAAGCTAAGAGTAGAGCTAAAGATCTGCATGAAGTAGGTTCTTCAGCGGCATTCACAGGACTACACGGTGAAAATCCCATATCTTGCTACGGAAATAAACGAGAGTGAAGCTGATCGTGTCCCTCTTGTATTGAACAATGGAGGTGACTGAACATGTGTTTGGGGACGTCTAATGGATGAAGTGAAACGCGTGTATGAGGCGAAACTGATAATGTCTGCGCCATAACAATATGCTGCTCGAGGCGCCCAGCTGTTCAATACTTAGGCAGACCACACTCTTGACCTACTGAACACTTGTGCAAATTTCAGGGACCTCATTACATTATTATTATTATTATCTGTATCTTTATATACTCGTGCTAACTTTGTAATTGGCCACTGTGCTGTTAACTTATTGCACTTAAATAAACATGAATTGAATTGAATTGGATTGAAATATTGTGTATTTCTGTGTACTCGTGCTAACTTTGTAATTGGCCACTGTGCTGTTAAGTTTGCACGTAAATAAACACGAATTGAATTATTATGAAAGGTTTGCGACCCCCCATTTTAATTGTTTCTTCTCTCAAGTTCATTACTGCTATTCTCTTGCTCTAGAGGAGTTAAAATCCCACCCTACGTATGAGGAGGCGTCGCATCGTTGTATTCTTTCTTATTCAAATTTACCTTGGCTCTAAATTCTGTCCTTCTGTTTTGGAAATTGTTGGTCTTCAAGTTCCTGCTCGGTAAAGCAGAGGCTATGTTTTGGTCGACGTCTGCTCCTCATGTAAAAATCCTAGATGTGCATCAGCTACTAATACTTTTTATTTTTTTCAGAGATATTGAAATATTCGGAGACGAGCGTTTTCCTTAATCAAGTTTATAATTTTATAATAATAATAAATTTTATTACTACTACATATATGTATGTATTGTAGCGTGTAGATCCGTTGCTAGGCAACAACAGCGAAATAAGCAATTGTACAACGGCTGTTGCTAAGTAATGGCTATGAGGACAAGCATATTTTCACGACAACAATAGTAGATAACTACTGGGTTTCAGTCATTGTGAGCTGTTGTGAGAAGCTGGGGACAGTTTGGGAACCCAGAGGAAGTGAAATATCCGCTGTTGAAAACCGCTACCAAGCATCGGATAGTGAAGACTGTAACAGATTGAGAAGATCTAGTGTGTTCTATGTAGTGATTTGTGAAGTGTGTAGAACAGTGGGAGCATAATACTCAATATCAATAAATGCTATTACCAATATAAACCCCGTTTTTAGTATCGCTAAAGTATATATGAATATTATCCTTTTTCACCGCATAATAGCATAACCATTGCAAATGTACTTATTTTGCTTTTCTCACCTGTTAGTAACAAATTTGATTTTTCATGTTATATTGTTATTATTATTATTATTATTATTATTATTATTATTATTATTATATAAATTTCCTTATTTTGTATTTTGTTTGTAAGTTCTTGTTGTTTCTTTCTATGTACTTGTGTTAACTTTGTAATTGGTACCATTATTATAACGACATTGAGAAATCAAAGCTAGTTTACGAAAGAGTTCCAAGTTGATCGGAGTAAGGAATGTTTGTGTTCATTCAGTTAGGATCTTTTTATACCTCCTCAATCATTCTAAAACTTGAAATTTGAGATATTTTCAGATTGTCTTTGATCTCTTTGTTTTCTTCGTATGGTATTTTGATTCTTAAATTTACTAATTCCAGTAACCTAAGAAATTTCGTAGGTGCAGCTTACACAGATGGAGATGAAAAAATCAGTTGTAGAAATTAACGATCGTCAGGAAGTTCTACAGCATCCAAATCATGAATCGAAAGAAGTAAAATATTAAAATACACAAATTACCTTTTATCCGTCGAAATAAAACTGAAATTTTCAGCCAAAGAGGAGAACATAAATTTGGAAAATTTGAAAATGACCTTCTGAGGAGATTGTATGAACACAAGAGGTAGGAGGCAGTAGCTGTATGGATGAAGTCACATGATGTGAGCGTCATATTTCGTACTCTTCATCATACATTACTACAGTA